TTGATTAAAGCTGTTTTTGGCGACAAGAGTATTACTCTGAATTGCAATGCCGGCGAGTGTCTGTATCGGACAGATGTTCCTGGCTACACGCGCCCGGTCAAACAAATCAACACCCCTCTTATCGCCGGCGTCATCGCAGGATGTGCCCTCTTCGTCGTTGCTGTCATTCTGTCTGTATGGTATCTTTCACGGAGGTCGTATTTCGGTCGCATTCAGCTGCCCCTTTCGGACGACGAGGACGACGAAGCGGCCAAGCTCCTGGCAGAACACAAACCAGCAGCCTTGTATTGGGACAGTGTCTCGTACTACTTGAATGGAAAGGAAATTCTAAGTGGCATTCAGGGTTCTTCTCAGCCTGGTCAGATCACAGCCATAATGGGCGCCTCGGGTGCAGGAAAGACGACCTTCCTTGACATCCTTGCTCGGAAGAACAAGCGGGGTACCGTCCGTGGCGATTTCTATGTCAATGGGGAGAAGATCAGCGACCATGACTTCAAGAGTATGATTGGTTTTGTAGATCAGGAAGATACTATGCTCCCCACCCTGACTGTGCACGAGACTATCTTGACAAGTGCGTTGCTGCGGTTGCCGCGAGACATGAGCAGGGCTGCGAAGGAGCAGCGCGTGTTTGAAGTTGAAAGGCAACTTGGGATATCCCATATCAAGGACCAATTGATCGGATCTGAAGAAGGCAGAGGTCGGGGCATCTCGGGTGGTGAGAAGCGCCGAGTTGGCATCGCATGCGAGTTGGTTACCAGCCCGAGCATTCTTTTCTTGGATGAGCCTACAAGTGGATTGGTAAGATGCATCAGCCCAATTAACACTGTGCTTTTCTGACTAGCTTTTTAGGACGCATACAATGCATTCAATGTGATTGAGTGCTTGGTGACATTGGCAAAAACTTATAATCGCACTGTCATCTTCACAATTCACCAACCGCGCTCCAACATCGTTGCTTTGTTTGACCGACTGATTCTCCTAGCTAAAGGAAAGACCGTCTATTCCGGTCCATTCTCCACTTGCCAAAGATACTTCGACCATTCGGGTTACTCTTGCCCACCAGGCTTCAACATTGCTGACTATCTTGTCGACCTCACGATGCACGCTAGTGTGACCCGCTCTCACAGCGACGAGATTAACTCCCCCTTACTAGATGTGCGGGTCGATCCCCCTAAGACGGCGTCAAGCAGCCTGCGAGCCGTCAAATCTGTGGCTAGTGCATCCAACGCGAGCTTCGAGGATAGCAGCAGTACTTTCGATGCGAACCGGCGACCGAAGAGTAAGCGGCGCGTCTCCCTCAAACAGAAACAGGACAGACAGCTCTACTCGCGCAAGAAGGACCCAGAAGCTCCCCCTACCCCGAAAACTGATGAAGAAGACGAGCCATTGGATGATGCCGCCGAGGACAATCAGCAATGGCTGCGTCTTTCTCGTCAAACAGGAACCGCTCCATCTCAAATCATGGATGACCCTGATCAGCTACCCCCAGCGGCCCCCGGACAGACAGACCTTGACATCTTGGTTGCAAACTATGCGGCATCGGACATCGCACGCTCCGTGCATGATGAGATCGTGGCGGCCATACAGCATGCACGCGCGGCGAACGGGTATACCAACCCCGAGCTGATGTCTGCTCCTACTGGAACCGGCAAGACATACGCTCGCATTGGCCTCTTGCGACAGTTCCTGATCCTGTCGCAACGAACCTGGCGTAACCTGTATCGGAATCCTATGTTGATGCTCACGCATTATGCCATTTCTATCCTGCTTGCTGTTCTGTGCGGTTATCTCTTCTACGGCTTGACCGACGACATCAAGGGCTTCCAGAATCGGTTGGGTCTTTTCTTCTTCATTCTCGCATTGTTTGGATTTAGCACGCTTACCAGTCTAACGGTATTCTCCGGGGAGCGGCTTCTGTTTGTACGCGAGCGAGCTAATGGCTACTACCACCCGATTACCTACTTTGCGGCCAAGGTGGTGTTTGACATTGTGCCCCTTCGCCTCCTCCCCCCTATTATCATGGGTATCATTGTGTATCCCATGACTGGCTTGATCCCGGCTTGGGGCGAATTCTTCCGTTTCATCTTGGTACTGGTTCTGTTCAACCTAGCGGCCGCCAATATTTGCTTGTTCATCGGTATTATTTTCCGGGATGGAGGCGTGGCCAATTTGATTGGGAGCTTGGTGATGCTGTTCAGTCTGCTCTTCGCTGGTCTCCTGCTCAACCACGATGCCATTCCCAAGTCTGCCTTGTGGCTGCAAACTGTGAGTATCCACGAATCTTTTGTCGCTTTGTTGATAGAATATTGTGCAAGTTGCTGACTCCTGATAGCTTTCCATCTTCCACTACGGCTTCGAGGCTCTGATCGTCAATGAAGTAACATATCTGACCTTGATTGATCATAAGTACGGCCTCGACATTGAAGTTCCCGGTGCATCTATTCTGAGCGCTTTTGGATTTGATACCCAAGCTCTGTGGACCGATGTCATCGGACTGGCCGTCATCTCGGGTGCATTCATCGTAATCGCATATGGCGCGATGCATATTCTGCTGGTAGAGAAGCGGTGATAGTCTGATAAAGATGATCGCGATCATCTATGCCGACACACTTGATTTTGTTTTATTATGCAGCCCACGGGCTATGGTTGTTTTTGTGTACTGGTATTGACTCCGTGATGAGCATTTTGATACGACATTTTTTTCCTGTTTCTGCTTTTTAGTTCTGTTCTTGCCACGGATCTCCATTGCAACGTTAGCTAGCTAATGACGGGTTATATCTATGTAAATAGAGGTCAATTATTGTTGAAGGTGCTTCTACTGCATATACTTGGTGATGGTGATGCTATAATGCGGACTTGCGGGCTGGCCAGTAGAAGCCGCCAGATGCGGATGGAAGCACGTGTTTCCCCACGTCATCGACATGTGTTTGTGATGGCAGAAATACTATGCTATGTTGTGCCCATACCGCCATTTCACAGTGTTTACTGAATAGTTGAGCCTTCATATTCTGGTAGATCTTTGCTTTAATGATATCATACGCTTGTTAAGCTCTGCAGCAAAAGCTTTCGTAATCGATACTGCGGTGGTGGTGATTCGCAATAGTGGCCGATGCCGCGTTTACTAGTATCCGATAGCGGCTGAGCATCAACAGACGCATAATTCGCGGTCATGGCCATAATTGCTTTTCTTGCGCACACTGGGATTATGGTCCTGATTTCCAGTGTCAGATAGATAGTAATCGATCGTAATAATAATGGGTTGAGATTAGAAGTCAACTCCACGGACTTGACAGCAGATCGCGGGTCACTCCCCCGGAAGAGCCTCACCGCCTGCCAGCTCCAATCGCGGCTTTCCCCCATCGGTTCGAATCCACAATCAAGTCCAACTTCCTTCGTCTTCAGTTCTCACCTTCTACCCCTTCACCTCTGTTTCCTCCAGTTCTATCTTCCTGCCCCCGAGCACGGCCACCTCTCCGCTCCTCTCCTCCTTCTTGCCTTCTTGTTAGCACCCTTTTCGAGTCTCTTTCAAGCATCTCTTTTCCATCTTGCCCACCATGTCCGGTGAAGCCTGGCTCTATCTGTTGGCGGTGTTGATTAACGCCGTCAACCTGTTCCTGCAGGTCTTCTTTACTATCATGTACAGCGACCTGGAATGGTATGTTCTTGTCTATATCCTCCCTATTGTCTCGCCGGTATCTGTCGTGTGCGTGGACGAGCTCTTGTGAGCCGCATGGGAGCTTGCCATGGATTGCGACAGCGTGATGGAACCCAACCAGCTAACCATCCCGGTTCGCTCCCGCAGTGACTACATCAACCCCATTGATCTGTGCAACCGCCTCAACGCCTACATTGTGCCCGAGGCCGCCGTTCACGCTTTCCTGACATTCCTGTTCATCATCAATGGCTACTGGGTCGCCATCGTCCTGAACCTGCCTCTGTTGGCGTTCAACGCTAAGAAGTAATGCTGTCCTTCCAGCTCCGCCATGGTGTAGCCCAACTAACACAACCGCCCTTTTTGCAGGATCTACGAGAACCAGCACCTCCTGGATGCGACCGAGATCTTCCGCAAGCTGAACGTGCACAAGAAGGTTAGACTGCATTATCTCAATCCCGCTATTGAAGGCGGACCGAGCGCTGACACACATTGCAGGAATCTTTCATCAAGCTGGGCTTCCACCTTTTGATGTTCTTCTTCTACCTCTACAGCATGATCGTCGCCCTGATCCGCGACGAGTCTCACTGACTTCGCGGCAAGACGGAACACGCACTGCGCAACGGCCGCCCGGGCTGAAGTGTCATGTAGTGCGATTGTCTTGACTTCTCCTTTGGCTAGGGAAGATTGGACGGAGCATGGTTCTGCGAGTATCGGTCTCGCTGCTGTATCCCGACGCAACTTGCGCCTCTCGTCCCGGCTGCTTGACACTGTCGTCGGTGTGCCGGCGCGTGCAGCAGAAGAGACCTTGTATATGACGTGACTATGAAAGCATATCATTGATGACAGCGAACGCGTGAGGTCTCAAGATCTTGATGTTTTTTTAGGTTTGCGGAAGAGAGATGGGCGATAGATGAGGTAATCCGATCGCCTGGGAGCAGCACGCCGGAGAGGCTGCTTGAGTTGTTCTTGTTTGCTTAGTGTACTTTCCTTGGGTTTCTGATGTTGCTAATTTCCTGTTAATGTCTTCAATAATGGTGCTGTATATACCTCAGCGGTGTGACAATGAGCGCGTACGATATCTTGATTCCTTGTAGAAGCACAGCTATGTAGATAGTAGTAGATAGTAGGGTTGGTTGTCCGCCGGAGATTCTTGCGCGGGCGGTGCTTCCGCCTTCCGTAAAAGTCGGGCGTGGGACTTCTGCCGATCGTAGAAACCAAGCTTGCTTTCACTTCATTTCTCGCCGCATCGGGGAAGTTCAATCTGTTCAATTCTTCCCTGAATCACAGCCATCGCAGCAATCATGGCATCGTTACTCGGCGCCGGCTACGAGTCTAGCGACGATGACTCGGCGAAGCCCACTCAAACCCAACCTACGGTGCCCTCAGCGACCACGATTGTCGCGGCGCCAGAAGTGAACACAGAGGTTTGGTCCCCCAGTTTCTCTTGAAGTCGCTGCTATGCAATGAATCCCCCATGATTACCAAATTTGGAATGTCTGGTGTATCTAACAACCCTACAGGATCAAGCCCATATGCAGATGATGCTCGCTAACACCTCATCCACCGCGCTCACCTACAACGCTACCTACGATGATCTCTCCCGGCCGTCTCAAGGGCCCGTCAACCCCTTCAAACCTGCCGGACCAGCAAATGGTCTCAAGCGCAAGAATGTCCCGACCGGTTTCGCCGAAGAAGCGGCCATCAGTGAGGCGACCTTCGCCGCGCAACACCGCACCTTCCAGAGTCTCGGCTACACGCGCAACCCAGGTCTCCCGGGCCAATTTGTCGGCAATCTCGATAATGCAGCCCAGTTCGGTGGCCGCGATGTTATTCAGATGAAGCCCTCCAAGGAGGCCTCTGCAGCGCTGCGCGCCAAGCGGCAAAAGAAGGGCGACCCCAGCATCGTTGAAGGTGAAGGTGCCTACCTCGGCCCATGGGCGAAATACCAACGCGAGGAGTTTTACGAGGAGGAGGCCGCTGACGAGGATCGCGAACTCGCCAGCGATGAGGAGTACGTCGAGGTGGATGAAGAGGAGGACCTGGCCCCGTCAGCCATGCCTGCCATGAGCAAAGAAGCCACCGACTACCAAGACGACACGACCAAGGTCGAATCCACCGAATTCCACGGCACAGAGCAGTTCGACTACCTGGGCCGCACGTACATGCACATTCCTCAAGATCTGGACATCGACCTCCGCAAAGACCCCGGCAGCGTCAAGAACTTCATCCCCAAGAAACTCATTCATACCTGGAAATCGCACACCAAGGCCATCACCTCTCTCCGCTTCTTCCCCCGCTCCGGCCACCTCCTCCTCTCCTCCGCCGCCGACGGCAAAGCCAAAATCTGGGACGCCTACCACTCCCGCGAACTGCTACGCACTTTCTCCGGCCACTCCAAGGCCATTACAGACACCGACTTCCACCCCAGCGGCACCACCTTCCTCACAGCCTCCTACGACCGCCAGATCAAGCTCTGGGACACCGAATACGGCAAATGTCTCGGCCGCTTCAGCACAGGCAAGACCCCGCACGTCATCCGCTTCAACCCAGGCGCCGAACACTCCCACGAATTCCTGGCCGGTATGTCCGACAAGAAGATCGTGCAATTCGACACCCGCTCCGGCGAACTGGTCCAAGAATACGACCACCACCTGGCAGCCATCAACACCATCACCTTCGTCGACGACAACCGCCGCTTCATCTCCACCTCCGACGACAAGTCCCTCCGCGCCTGGGAATACGGCATTCCCGTCCCCATCAAATTCATCGCCGAACCATACATGTTCGCCCTCACCCGCGCCACCCCCCACCCCAACGGCAAATACGTCGCCTTCCAATCCGGCGATAACCAGATCGTCGTGTACGGCGCCACAGACAAGTTCCGCCAGAACCGGAAGAAGAGTTTCCGCGGCCACAACAATGCCGGCTACGCCATTGATATTAAGATCTCCCCTGACGGACAGTTCATTGCCTCCGGTGATAGTGGCGGCTATGTCTGCTTCTGGGATTGGAAGACGGGTAAAATGTACCATAAGATCCTGGCTGGTGGGAAGGAAGGTGGCGCGACTACTTGTCTCGATTGGCATCCGCAGGAAACTAGCAAGGTTGTTACGGGTGGGTTGGATGGGTTGATCAAGTATTGGGATTAGGGTTGTTTCGTTCGCTGTTTCTTTTCTGTATAGGTGTTTTTGTGTGTTGTGTAATAGATATAGTATGCATGAAATGGGTTATAACGGCTACATGATGATGCGTTTTTGAACGTGACGTATATCATTGCTTGATTGTATTGTCTTAACAACTTAACAGATAATATACTAGTAGTGCTTTGTAGATAGATAGAATGAAAGGGTAGGTAGTATGATTAGTTAAATCAAGTCATGAAATCTACTATTTCCATACTATCATGCTCTCTCTCACAATATGAACCTAATATACAAACCCACCCATTACTACTCTCATCCACAAAAAAAACTCAACACCTAAAAACTAGCCATCTCAATCCAACTCGCGACAAACGCCAACGCACGACCCCGATCCATCGCCATCCGCTGCGCAAACTCCGAGAAATTAAGCTTTGCGCCACTGCCGCCGCGTTCCTTGGCTTCGCGCTCGACCTTCTCTAGGTAAGCGAGATGGGCGATGCGAGCCTTGGATGGGGGCCGTGGCGGACTGGCTTGTCTAGGGAGAGGAGGGGCTGAGGATGACGATGAGAGGGGTAGGGGGTGAATAGGAGAGGGGGAGAGTTTGGGAGCTGTGGCTTCGGCTTCCGGGGAGGAGATGGAGGGGGAGGTGGGGGCTGGGAAGGAGGTTGTAGCGGTGGGTTCGAGACGGAGTTCGGCGGGGAGGTCATGGCTCTGTTGGGGGTGGAAGGCGGAACTGTTGGTGCTGCTGGAGAGGATGAGGTCGGAGTCGTCGTGGTGGTTGTGGTAGGTCTCGTCGGGTTCGTTGGGTCGGTGGTGTGGGAGGGTGGGATCGTAGTAGGATGCGGTGGATGGGGGTCGGGATGATTCTTCGTCGTCGACTAATTCGTCGTCGTCTTCTTCGAAGGTGGACGCGTGTGAGGAGGGGGACATGGGTGTGTGTTCTGTTCCTAGGGTGCGGAGGAAGTCGTGGCTGGATCGCGGGTTCATGGCCTCTTCTTCGTCGTCGCCTTCTTCTTCGACTTCAGGAACGCCGAGATAAACAACGTCGTCGTTGGGTACACCTAGGTCTGGGGTGGGTGGGGGAAGAACTGGGCCGTCCTGGACGGGCTCGAGGGGTGGACTGCGGACGGAGTAGCCTGCCCGGCTGAGCAGTTCGTCCAGGGAATGGTCACGGAATGGATTGACCATCGACGACTCTGGATGCTCGTCCGGCTCGTTGTTGGTTTGCTCCGGTGCGAGTTGTGTACCGGATTCCGCCTGCTCGACTTGTTCGATTTCGCGCGCCCACATCTTGCGCTCGGCCCGGGTCCGGAAGGCCTCCATAAGAAGGTCCTCTTTCGGCTTGAATAGGAGGTCGAGCAGCTCGTTGAACCCTTGCTGGGTGACCTGATACAGGATCTCTTTGCCGACGTCTCTTTCGACTTCTGGAATCTCGAACCCGCCCCACCGCTCACCCACCAGGATGCTGCGGGATGAGGTTGACGGGTTGGAACGCACGTCGTAGTCATCGGTGAGATCGTCTTGAAACCGTACTTTGGAGGAGGAGCGAGATCGGGGAGATGGAGGGTGAGACTCGGGCTGGGGCTCGTCGACATCATCTTCGTCCTCATCCTCGCTCAGGCCATCGACGTCCATGTCGCTGCGATAACCGGGTGGAACAGTTGCGCCGTCTTCCTCATCAGTATAGAAACGTCTGCGCTGCCAGCGGTTGTGGATGCCCGTGCTGCGAGCCATGTTAACCCGAAGTCGGTCCTGAGCGCACATTCTGTTGTAGACCGCGGTACCAACACGGGCTCGATCGACTGGATCAGTGATATCGTTCAAAGGCACATGATATCCAAGCGCGTTCACAATATCGTAGTCTCGAACATGCTCCGGCGGAGGCCACCTGTCGCTGGCACCGGAAGAGTTGGAGACATCGTCAGGGATATTACTGCCATCGTCACCGTTGACTTCTCTTCTAGTGTTGCTTCCTGAAGTATGAGCCACGCCAGATCCGGACGGAGTCGCCAGGCGAGCCGCAGTTGGGAACATGGGCCGCACGCTGCCGTATTGGCTTCGCACCGCAGCGTCTCCCACAACCGAGTGTCGGTCTGCAGTGTCCGCGCGGTCTGCTCGCACGATCCCTTCGTTATCCACGAGCTCCATGTCGCCGTCCTGATTCATACGCTTACCCTCCCCGGTCCTCGAGACTTCCCCGGAGGGAATACTGCCAGGAAAGGCCGAGCTGATCGGCTGACTGCCCAGAACAACATCCCGAGCACCGCCTTCGAGAAAGTCGTCCTCCATACCTGCCACCATGTCCCGAGTCAGCTCTCTACTGAGCGCATAGTAGGCCCGGAAAACCCGTAGGAAGTCCTTCCGCTCGATGTAGCCGTCACCATCGATGTCATAGCCACGGAAAACGCGCCGTAGCCGCTCGTCGTTGCTCTTATTGTTGAGACTGGCAATTCCTTTCAAGAACTCCTCGAATCCAATCAGACCATCGCCGTTGGTATCATAGAAGGCAAACATGCGGTCGTAGATCAGGCTAGGCGGCGGTGGGCGGATGGATGTGTTCGGCACGAAACACCGGTCAAACGTCTTTCTATCGATGGCCATGTAGAGCTTGTTCGGATCTTCTTCCCACTCATGGTTGGCCAAGCAGCGGAACTGGTCCCAAAGCGCATCCAACTCGGTATTTTCGAAGCTCGTCTCCTTCATGAGGCGCTTGGCCAAAGACCGAGATAAGCTGCGCGGCAGCATGGTAGGCTTCCCAGGGTACCAGACCGGCTGAGACTGTCGGGGATTGCCCAGGAATGGGGCGGGTATCCGGACCTTGTAGAACAGGTGTGTCTTGATGTGCACTCCCATCGCTTCGCAGGTTTCACACAGATCGTAGTCGATGCAGTTCGCGCATCTGTACCGAATACCCTGAATGGGCATGGCTCCGCAGCTATTGCACGTCACACCGCGATGAATATACCCATCACGTCTGGCCTGGTCCTCAGCGATATGGTACAACAAGTTGAGCAGATTCTGTCCTTCTCTCGTCGGCGAGGCATCGTTATTTCCATCCCTCCACGAGAACACACTCTGATCATCCACCACCGTCTCTCCACCATCCATATTCGGCGCCGGCGGCGACTCTTCAGGGAAGGTCGACGTCGACAAAGTGACCCTCTCGCCATTTTGTCTCCGCCGCCGTAACTCCTCTCCGTAGTTATTGTCTGCATTGAATCGCATCAAGGCTCTCTCGATTCCGGCCTGCGAGATCCCCCGCCGCTGGAGCTCTACCATCAAGTATTCCCATTCCGGACAGCCTTCTTGTATGAAATGTGTGGGCGGAAAGTCCAGTGCCAAGAAAGATTCCAGAAATGTGTCTTCCATCATCTCGCGCATCCGCTCCGCATGAGCTTGGGGAACCCCCACTTCCTCCATGAGCTGGTCCCGGGTTGCGAGAAGAGACGGGAGGAGGCCACTTTCCACGCGCCTTCCATCCTCTGTCTCGATGCGAAATGTTCCGTAGACTCCATTCTGGCGCTCCAGTTGTTCCAGGTGCGCGATAGCTCGCGTCGATGGGGTGTCGTCAACGGGATGGTCACTGGCGTTGCTGGCTTCGCTTCTCCGTCGCCGGCGACGGACGGCTCTGCGGCGTCGGAGGGAAGTCCGGGAAGTCGACGGAGGAGAGGAGGTGATGTAGTTGTGGATGTAGACGATCGCGTAGGCGGCGGCGACCCCGGAGAGCAGGTAGAGAATGGGACGATATCGTGACAGCGCCAGCCGTGGGCGGGTGACCGACATGGCGGGCGACAAAGGAATTTGACGGTTAAGCCGATAGGATCATGCTTGTGAGATTTCCCTGGAAGTCGCCGGTGGAACTCTCGGGGGCTGCAGGTGCTGTTGTCTCTCAAACCGCGACAGTGTGATTTGGAGGCTGACAGTTTGGGGTTCCGGGGAAAGTTGGCGGAGCTGGAGCCATCCAAGGCTAAAATATTCGTTGTCCCATCACCGCCTTCTTCTGTACCTGACTCAAACCACTTCTTCTCTCTTCTTTTCCCAACGTTGACTTCTCTTCTGGTTGAAAAGCAGCTCGTGGTCATAAGATTCGTTGCTTTCAGTCTATTTCATCGAGCGAACTGGAGTATTTCATAATTTTCGACTCATATGCTACGCCTGGCACTAGATTCCTAGGTTGCCTGCTGCCTCGCTCAATATTGGTTGTAGTCAGGGCTGCGCTAATATGCATCTGATGAAATCAATTTTGTCCAAACCATAGTAATAGATACACCTGGGAATGCATGCATATGTACAACAAAAAAATAATACCCATGATCAGTCTAGTATTAGACGATCTAATGCTTCCTTTTCCCAAATCCATTGTTGTATCCGCTGGATCAACCCTTTTATCACCGGACCAGATAATGCTATCTAAGTCACCATATATATACCCCCCTCTAGCATCTTTTTTATCCATCTAACAGTGGCATATACAGCCACTATGCAAGTGTATAGGCACCCACTCATCAATGCAAGTAAGCATCCCCGCAAATTCATCATCACCTATCCAAGTCCCCTTACCACCAACAGCCAGAGACTAACCCCAAAAGATGTGTATATCCTACCGCGACACCTTCTTCTCTCTGATGAAGAAACTGCTAATCAACGCGCAAAACACAACCCCGACCAAAAATGCGAAGCCCTTATTCGTGGCCCAGCCATAACAGCTACGCACGATCTTCCCGGTAATCGGATCAAGCGTCTTGATGAAGTCGAGACTTTGGCGGACACCGTCGACGATTTTATCAATGTCTTTGCTGTCGCGGAGAGCAAAGTGCAGTCGTTCGCGGAGGAGTTGCTGAACGACTGTTGATGAGAGGGAGAGGCCAATGACGGAGCCGAGGGAGCGAAAGAGGTAGGAGCAGGCTGTCACGACGGCTTGATCTTCGGGTGTGGAGTTGGAGACTAATAGGGTGAGGTTAGTGAGTCGCGTTGTAGGACTTATGGAGAGTGAAGTGGGGAAGAGGCTTACTGAGACTGATTAAGGTAGAAGTTACACCGATACCGTTTCCAAAGGCGCAAGCGACCATGCCTAGTACTAGGACGGTGGTGTTCTCGGTGACCGCACCAGAGGCCAGGAAGATGGTGGTAAGGCCTATCGTGAGGCCTGTGTAGGCGGCAATGGTGAGCCAGTAGAATTTGCCCGTCCACTTCATGATGTAGCCGGCGAAGAGGGAGCCACTGACGCCGGAGATGATGCTAGGGAGAAGTCGAAGTCCGGCAACGGTGGCGGAGACGCCGTCGACGGCTTGGAAGAAGAGAGGGATGTAGAATAGGGCGGCGAGCCAGCCGCCAAAACTGAAGAAGTTACAAGCGTATGCGGCGAAGAAGGTCCGGTTGAAAATGATGTGGCCGGGGGCGAATGGTTCGGCGGCGTAGAAGACCTCTATAACAATGAAGAGAGCGAAGAGAGCTGTGGAGACGCTCAGAGAAACGATTGTAATCGGCATTGTCCAGGAGACGTTGCTGCCACGGTCCAGACCGAGGAGGAAGCCGAAGACTGCGCCGACAAGGACGATGGCGCCGGGAAAGTCAATGCGGCGCAATTTCGTCTTCCAGTGGCTGTCTTCCTGGGCGGGAAGGTCGAGCATGACAGTTACGGCGATGAAGGCAAGGATGCAAAGGGGAACTTGAGCGATGAAGGCCCTGGGTCAGGTTAGAGGAGGGTGCAGAGCGAGAGTGGTTGCAGGGGCGTACCATCGCCAGCCGATGAAGTCAGATAAGATACCACCTGCGCAATCGGTTAGAGAGATTCAATTGTTGCCATCGATCGAACGTACCTAGAGGGGCACCTATGCCGGAGCCCGTCGCATAGATGATATTGATCACACCCTGCCAAACACCCCGATCCCGGAGAGGAACAATGTCACTCATCAGGATACTCACGACGGTGGTCATACCGCCGCCACCAATACCTTGGAAAACCTGGCCATCGTCAATTACTGTCTCGAAGTGAAAATACGACAGATCAACCTACGCGTGCAGCGATGAGCTGATCGATGTTCTGCGCAAGACCGCAGAACAAGCAACCGATGCCGAAGATGGCATATGCGAACAAGAGACATGCTTTGCGACCAAAGATATCACTCAGTTTGCCGTAGAGCGGCTGGAACGAGGTCAAAGTCAGAAAGTAGGAGGTGGCGATCCAGCTGGTCAGGTTAAGGGCCTCCAAGTCACTGCCAATCTGCCCATAACTGGCCATAATGATGGTCTGGTCGGCTGCGGAGAGGAATACCTGGGCGGCATTAGTATTACCGAGAAATCTCCTATGCGCAAATAGATTGGGATCACATACTCCCAAAGAGATAGCCGGAATGATATATCTTAGGCCCTTCCCCGCCTCAGAAGCATCTTTGGCCGGGTCCTCCTGGGGCGGAAGAGTCTGCTCGCCGGACTCAACATCCTGACGGCCAATGTTGGGAATAGCCCCCGTGGTAGAGACATTGCTTTGGGGACCCAGCAACGGGGAGGTCTCGGAAGGAATCCTTTCTGGAGACATGGTGGGGGAATGACTCTAGAAAAGAGCAATCTCCATTACCAAGGGGGCCAGGGAGTCGACACAAATGTCGAGAAGGTGGAGAAGAAGGAGGGGAGAATGAAGCGAGGGAAGAGTCACCGATGACAGAGGCAGAAGGGCGAATAAGTAATAACTGCTCACTAAAGGACTCACTAACTAGACTTCCACTAGTTGGGATAATGGGCCCCTGCGCTCTTGTCACGTGGAGATAAGCATCTTTTCCCCACTTGCGGAAATACCGTCAAAGTCCGTCTTGATTGGTTTTATCGGCAACACAACTGCCATCTCTCGCTCGGCCGAGGCACGACATTGAGGGATCATCCTTGATGGTTACACAGAATCGGACCCGCATAGGCAAGTGTCACTTGTAGATGTCGGTTTTGACATGGCCATACATACTCATCCGGGGAGAGTTGTCAGAAAAATACAGATAATGGAGAGACTTCCTCAAAACGGAAACGGGTCCGCCCGCCCCGATGGCGATGGTCTCTTCTCGGATATCGCAATCGCAACTCTATCGTTAAGGCTATCTTCTCCGATCCGGCCGTGTACGTAATGCTAACTACGCTCTCCTGTTACAATCTCGCTGGACGTTTTCCTTGTTTCACCTTCATCCTGGTCTGATAGTAACCTATACTGCGACAACGCAATGCCAGACACCAAAATACACAAATATGGATATGGTCATGGTCCACTCCTATACACTAAGGATATCTTCAACGACGAACAAAGACAGCGGCATAAGAATCACTTAGAACACCCCAAAACAGTGCCAATACAGCACGCATCACACCCAACCCTCGTAATCATAAACGCTCTATCTCGTTACGCTACCTGCATGCAATGTACTTGAAACTCACGCTTCCGCAGCAGCCGGGATGGGCACAGGCCCACCGGGCGAGTCGGGGAAGCGCGCCGTCAGCACCTCAACACCATCCTCCGTAACCAAAAGTGTATGCTCGAACTGGGCGGAGAAGGCTCCGTCGGCCGTGGAGCTGGTCCAGTCATCGGGCCAGGTACGATCGCGGTGGGTACCCTGGTTGATCATGGGCTCGATCGTGAAGCACATACCGGGCTTGGCAACACCAACGGCCTTGTTCTTCGCATAGTGGGGAACGTTAGGAGCGCAGTGGAACAGCTGGTTGATACCGTGACCGCAGTAGCTCTTGACCACACTGCAGTCCCGGGACTTGGCGTGCTTCTCGATCACATTTCCAGGGTCGCGGAACAGCATACCCGGCTTCACCAGCTCAATAGACTTGTCCAAGCACTCACGCGCCGTCTCAACCACGCGCACCGCATCGGGGTTGGCCTTGGCCTTGTCACCGACATAGTAGGTCTCGTTGATGTCTCCGTGGAAACCATTGTGGTACAGCGTAACGTCAATGTTGACAATGTCGCCGTCCTCGAGGGGTCGCTGGTCGGGGATACCGTGGCAGATAATCTCGTTGATGGACGTGCAGACCGACTTGGGGAAGTTGTAGTAGTTGAGGGGGGAGGGGTACGACTGTAGCCAATCGCATCAGTACCAAATCCAAGCCACCACTAAATATCAGAACTCAATATGTCCGGAAAAGCACTCACTTCACGCTCGATACAAGCCTTGTGCACCACCTCATCAATGTAATCGGTCGTGACACCGGGCTTCAACTCCCGTGCAGCAATATCCAGCACCTCACGGGCCAGACGGCACACCTTGCGCATGCCCTCCTGCTCCTCCTTACTCAGGATCTTGATGTTGTTGCGGCCAACGAACTTCTGCTCGGAACGAGGAATGCCATCCTTGGCGTAGTCGGGGTGGGGGATGGTCTTGGGGACGGTTCGCGGAGCCGACAGCGGGTAGACAGGGCGCAGGTTGCCGGCAAACTGGAAGGCGGGGAAAGGGTTGTACAAGCCGGTTGCTGGATCTGGTTCAGAAACTACTTTAGGAGTGAAGAGGTTGGCCAGGAAATTACTCTTCTTGTGAATAGTCTTGTGTTCGCTCTGCATCGGACCAGTCAGCATTCGCAGATCACCTCGAAAAGCGTTCAAACCCACGTGAGCCGGATGGGTCACGTAAGGTAGCCTACCCAACTCCGTTTGAAACAGTCCTGCGAGCAGAAGAAGCTATCCGTGCCCGCCTTGAGGCATGTCGGACACTGCAACGTGCCTGCGTTCTTGTCACAGTCCAGCCCCATGCATTTCCGCGTTGCGACTTCCGCCATTTTGAGATCGAGCTATATCGCGAATGTAAGGTAATCAGGTAAATGCCGCTAGGAAAGAAAGAATCGAGAAAAATGGTCGCCGGAGGAATATAAGTTGGGCTAGAAGGGAAAAAATGGGACAATCCCCCGCGGATGGGCCTGGCGTGGCGTGGCGCTTATCCGCCCGGCCAATTCCAGGCACTCCATTCCCGCTTTGGGTTAGTGTGGGCAGTTTGCCCTTAGCCTGAACTGGACTAGTGTATCCGGTCTTACCCTAAGTAAGCGCCAGCAAGCGCGCGTAACCGGCGTCAAGGGTCCTCAATAGGACATGCTCGTTGGTCAATCAGTCCCGATGCTTATCGGCGGGGGGCGGCTAGAACAAACTCCTGTTGGCCGTAAAAATGTTCCACAGACCCACCGCCATATGGAAGAAAGAAGGAATGCGTGTGACGCAGCTGTCAGTTGCCATTTCAATATCAGTTTAAGCTCGGCCGATCTGCAGGTCTTTATACTACGCAGACTCGGGATCATCCTCAAGACTCCCAAATCACATCAAGTGTCCAGGTAGACTCTCGATCACGGACTCCGGTCAACATGGCGGAACCGTCTGCTGGACGACAAAAAGTGGTCATCGTGGGTGCTGGCCCGGTGGGGTCCCTGGCGGCTCTCTACGCTGCAGCTAGAGGCGACGATGTTGAGATGTACGAACTACGCGGAGGTTAGTCGCTATAAGCTGCCAGGTTATCCTGGATATTTTGATTCCCTTGCCATCCGACAGGCTTCGATGACTCTATCATCATCGACCCCGCATCATCCTCATGACTCGATCTCTATCAAGAATGGGGCCATTCTCACACTACATGTTGATTTACAGATCTGCGCGATCCAAGCACGATTCCTCTGAACTTCACCAAGTCCATCAATCTCGCCCTCTCCGAGCGGGGCATCACTGCCATGCGGCAGGCCAATCGAGAGGAACTCATCAAGCGCGTCCTCGCCGACGCCATCCCCATGCACGGACGTATGATTCATGGCCGAAGCGACGGCAAGCTATGGGAAGCTGCGCAAACTTATGATGTCCATGGCCGGGTATGCCTTCAGTCCTCTCATTTTCCAACAACTCCATCTAACATTGCTCTTAGGCCATCAATGCCGTTGACCGTGGCACTCTCAACAATGCCCTCTTGGATGAACTGTCGCGCACGCCCAACGTCAAGATGTTCTTCAACCACAAGCTCACCGGCGCCGACTTCCGCACCAACCGTGCCTGGCTCGAACGCCGCACTCCGGGCACCGCTTACACTCCGGAATCAGTGACCGAGATCGAAATTACCTTCGACTACCTCATCGGAGCCGACGGTGCCCACTCCGCCTCCCGCTATCACATGATGAAGTTCGCCCGAGTAGACTATCAGCAAGAATACATCGACGCGCTTTGGTGTGAATTCCGCATACCTCCACACCCGGAAACAGGAGACTTCCAGATATCTCCCAATCATCTGCACATCTGGCCGGGCAAAGAGTTCATGTTCATTGCGCTTCCATCAGCGGATAAATCTTTCACCTGCACGTTATTTGCACCAGCTTGGCACTATGAGAAACTGGAAAAGAGCTCACCGCAAGACCTTGTGACCTCCTTCGATTACAACTTTCCCGGTGTCTGTCCCAACCTGATTACGCCTGAAGCCCTATCCGAGCAATTCACCGAGAACCCACACCTCCCTCTCATCAGTCTGAAATGTAAACCACACCACTTCGGCTCCAGCGTAGTAATAGTCGGCGACGCTGCACACGCCGTCCTGCCTTTCTATGGACAGGGACTGAATGCCGGACTTGAAGATATTCGCGTTCTGTTCTCTTTCATGGACCAGTACGGCGTCTATGACGACTCTGTCAGTCCTACACCCGAAGCTCGAGCCTCTGCCCGTGCCGCAGCATTGCAAGCATACACCAACCAGCGCACGGCCGATACATGGGCGATCAACGACCTGTCTAAGCAGAATTATCTTGAAATGCGCTGGGGAGTCAAGAGTCCCGTCTACAAGTTGCGCAAGACGGTGGAGGAGACACTAGACCGCTATGTACCGAGCCTGGGATGGCAGACACAGTATTCTCGGGTAAGCTTTAGTAACCAACGGTACTCGGAGGTGATTGCGTCTGTGAAGAGGCAGGGGAAGCTGTTAGGTGTTGCTGGGCTGGGGTCGGTCCTGGTGTCGGTGATGATCGGGGCTGGGGTGTTGATGAGGTGGCCGGAGAGGTTGTCGTTGGGAGCTGTGTGGAGGACATTGCTTGGAAGAAATTGAGGGAATCCTCAGTATTTGTCTTTATTTGAGCTTTCTTTGCGTTCTAACAATATGTCATGTAAGTATAGTTGATGTTTTTTGCTGCAAGACCCGACTGCATGCAACCATAGAATGACGCCAAAAGCACGTAAATCTGCATGATAAGTTTGTCTGACGATAGAATATGTCATCTAAACCCTACTCCTCAAATATATCAGAATTTTGTTCACCCCAAAGAACAGAACCACCAACTCCACTCACAACATCAGCACCAAAATGGACCCCCTAAGCAAGCTTCCATACGAGCTCCTCTCCCTAATCATTGACTACACAGCAGACTGGATCACGCTCGAAAGCCTCATTCAAATCTCCCCACCACTACACGACCTCTTCACCACCTCAGCAGCCCCCAGCACCTCACCAAAGAAACAATCACGAAGATCAGCACGAACATCATCCAAAGCCCACCGCGAAGCCATACGCATTGTCAAATACACCCTCAAAAACAACCCCATCATGTCCGTTGCTATCCGTCGGCACTTCCACATAATCACCAAACTACGTCAATTTTCCTCACAACCAGCTGTCAGACGCACCATCTGTTATACTACACTCCTATTAGGAGATGATGATTCCTCCCTCTCCTTCGATTCCCCACCAGCCCACACAACCCTCCTCGAAATGATCACCCTCGCGGCCAACATCCAGCGTCTAGCATGCGCATGTCTATCCACCTTCCTAACCCGGCTTCGGAGCGTTCATCCGCACCGCTGGACCAAAGAAGAACTAGATCCAAAGACAAGTGCATCCACACAGACAGACATGGAAGCGTACAAGCTACACGATGTGGGACCTCCCTCATGGCTCGAAGAGCATCGCATCTACCGTCCGTTGTGGCTTCTACAGCTGAGATATGAATTGTTATCTGTTGGCAAGAAGCTGAGATTGTTCACTGATGCTCGACTTCAGAGAATGAAAGATGACTATATATGGACATAGCTAACCCGCGAGGATAACAACAACAACAGCAGCAGCAGCAGCAGCAGCAAGTCAATGTCCACGTCCCCACGCGGTTCCCAGCAGGACCTGTCACAGTCCTGGCACGCACTCGGCATGGCGATATGGGATTGCTGGCGGATGTATGGGCTGGGACTGACCCTGGTGAGGCGGGAGTGTTTGTCGGAGCAGGCGGAGTCTGAATGGGATGATGAACTGCCGATAGGCCCGAGGCCCGCGCGTAGGAAGGAGGAGCTTGTATGTAGGCTTTTGGACTTTTTGGAGGGGTGGAATGAGAAGAATAGTACTAGTAGTAGGGAGGGGGGGAGAAAGAGGAAAAGGGGTGATTATGAGTAGTGCTAGTGAAACCGGAATAGTAGTAGAAGATATATATATGATCATGATGGATTGGGTGAACCCGCTGCTGATAAATTGGCTTGATAGCAACTACTACACTACAGCTTGAATGTCTCAGTAAGTACGTTTATTTATGTTCGGTTGGGAGTTAAACTCAGAAAACCAGGTTAGAGATAGTACCTGACTTAGAATTTCATTTCCTGACACGAGTTAATGCGATCAGATTCCAGTTACCATATGAAAATACTTTGGTAGTATGGACATGTTAGGACTATTGAAAGATGATAACACTAGAACAAGATGTTCTAGTGTAACAGGTAGTACAGTTATCTCTGTCACATACCAAATGACAGACACTACTAAATACTTACTCACTAGGCTAGTACAATTACTCCAGAAAGAATGCTAGTGATCGTCATGCACTTCCTTCTGGGTCATGCCTCAGGCTGCCCGCTGACCTCCAAAGCAATAATTTGTTGGGCCTGTAAGTCGCCCAGTTCTCGTGGTTCTGTTTGGTCGCGTTGTATTACGTATGTTTTTGAAAAAAGGTAACAAGTGGTGCGCCAAGTACGGTGGCTCTTTGAGGAGGTCGGGGGTAAGGTTGTACCTAGTTCATTAGTAAGGGATGTAAGAATGATAGCCGTCTGTTAAATGCCAGACTATCTTGATCGAGGCACGGGTTGGCTCAATAGCACTAGGGGTTTCTTTAAACCCTTCTGTCTCCGTGCCTGGAGGGCCCATCTTGGCCGATTTTTCATGTCCGGGCAAAGAAGGGCACATGACAGACTAATAAATCTGCGTGAATTCTTCCCTGAGTGTGGCCCCATATATTTCCACCTCATTTTCCCCCTGCAAACGCTCGTATGGCTCTATAGTGTGAAAATAACACTGTATTCCCGCTTCGTAGAGTCCAAAAAGTATTTGTATATGTCCTTGATAAGACACAGAGTCTGGCTGCTGATAACGCTTTATCAGTGCTAGTGGACAATTCAAAATGGACCAAGCACAGCCAGCGCAGAGTTTCATATATGTGTTCAGCCTGAAATGCCAACAGAACGCAATAAACATGACATTTCAACAGCCATGTAACCTCTAGATCAACGGAAGTTGACCGCAATGCAAAAAGCAAGAAGCCACCCGGATCAGCCAAACTAGGCTGTACAACATGATATTGAAGGAGAGACATAATGAATAGACAAATCTTCAACCCAAACCAAGGCATAAGGTTCAAAAGCATATAACGGCACCAAAGATAATCTAAAGCCGAAAGGTAATCTGATCATGGAAATCCAGACAAAATATAAAATGAGACAAATAAACCCGAGGAACACACGAGAAACCTCCATAACGGCATAAAAAAAAGCCCTAATATCACCATGGCATACTTCATCATCGTCCAATCAAAGGGAATCTATTGAACCAAACTTGTTTAAAATCTCGGCCGGTCATGGCCTGAGGTCATCGAATCGGCCAATCCGGTAATACAGGGGAATCCATATCCAGGGGCCATATGTGGGACGCTTGGACAAAGTCAATCCATCCGTAAGGGTAAGGTAAGGGTCCGCAGTTCCACTTAAACAATGGACGGGTAATCCGGATATTCCACGGGCACTGTGTTTGTTCTCCTTGGGAAGTCTCCTTCCTGGGAACAGCCGTCCAGAGGTGCGGAGGGGTAAACCACAAAAACAGGAGCATGGCGGTCTGCACTTGGTCCATGGGAAGGCAGGATCGTGTGGCCATAACTCAAATCATCATCATAATTTAGGCAAAGGCTGGCAAATACCCTAGTTCATGGGCTGGCAAATTTGACGCGACGGCTGCGTCGATCATGGATGCGTTTCTCTGTATCAAGATAGAGGCGGTCAAGGAATTCCATGGCATTGGCATCCTTGAGAATCTTGGCCACCTGAGTGCCAGCTGAGATAAGCTGAAGAACATTCCGATCATCCTTGATGGGCCGGGATTGATGCTTGGCGGCATGTCTCATTTCCAGGGAATTCTCCAGCACGGTCACTAATTGCTTGATCTGGCCATTATACAACACCCGGGCTGGGATACGACGCTTGGTCGCCAGTCTCTTTAGGAGATATACCCACTCGGTCCACTCGCGGTCAGAAGGAACTCTCACCGGTCTCTTGTCCGGTTCCAGTGGAATCGGAAATTGATACTTTGCAACAAAGTCAAAGGCACACTGTGACAGTCGGTCGTTGACTGACGACAGGATTTGATCTTGCTCTGAGACATCTAGATTAGTAGGTAGATGAGGCAAATCCCTCCCTTGGGCTGCTATGACCCGCGGTGACGGTGGGTCTAGCAACTGATGGGGTCCGTCGAACTCGTCGCGATTAGACGGCCGTCTCTGCGAGTGATACCGAGTAGCGCCTTTTGGCTTCTCCGTTGCGCGTCGACTGTTTCTTTCAATCAGGTACTCCGACGTTTCGTAGGGTCTGACTAGGTCGTAATCACGCCTAAGTGACTCCGCTGGAAGGCGAGCAGGGTGGTCCCACTCTGGGTACAGAGCTGTGGGGCGTGGCAAGGCACCTCCTGCAGACACGGGAATGGTTCCCAGTGCATGTGAGGTCACTGGAAGTCCGCTGTATGGCATAGCAAATTCCGACGAAACTGGTTTGTTGGGCTTGACAGGAGCCTGAGTATCTATGGGTCCACGCTCAATATGCGGAGGGGAGAACCTTCTAGCGCTAAGGATGAGTGACATGAGAGTCTCAGTATGACAGATTCTGCAAAGAAAGGAAGCAAAGCCGATACAAGATAGTGACAAGGTACCTTGGATGATAGATCACGGGCGCCTCGCCCGAAGTCCCGTATACGGACGGTTGTTGGGGCATGATGCCACTGTACAAGGTGAGCTTCCCCCGACGACATCACCAGGAACAAAATAAGGAGAAGATTGCTTTGGGGCTAACCTGTGGCGAGACCACGAATCATCACTGCTGATGGAATGTGTGCAGGAGCCGCTGCTCCCGGATGCTCTTGAGAAATAACTGAGACCTGAAGACATTGCGATCAATGAGGGTGAAAGGACCGTGGACATGAGGCTGATGATTTATATAGAAGAATGAACGGGTATACACAATGGCGAGGCAACCTCAGCCTGTTCAGTCCAGACCTTTCAGAATGGTGCCTGACAGCGAGTAGAATGGGGCGTTTTATTATAGCAAAGTAGCAGATAATGTGGGATAAAAAAAAATAAAATAAGAGGGTGGACGGCCCACGGCACCAGATAAGCTTTTAATTTCTAAGGCCGCGTGAGATATGGCAAGCTGGAAGAAATATGAAGAACTCCACTGTCAGTGGCAATAGGACTGGATTGCTCAAGGCCGGGCTCCGCTCTGTCAGGGAGCAAGCGCGTGCCGGGAGATACCTCGTACTATACGGAAAACAACGAATCCATCTTGCTTCCAGGGCCAATCGAGCCAGGTCTCCACCGTGCCTCGCCGACAGGGTTGAGGGGGATCGATTGAGCCAGAGACGTCCGGGAGAACAAGGGACGACGAAGAGCAATAAGGAAGTCCGCCGGCGCAGCAGCCAGACAATAACTCCCGGAGCTAGACGCCCTGCCAGTCTTCCGTGCAATCAGTGGAGCTGCACCAGGCATACTGGGGTACATAGCCATGGATGGACCCGGCAGTAAATCGCAGCGAGACTCCACCAGCGGGACATAGCCAACTCCTGTATGTTGATCTTGCCCTCAACCGCGCATGTCAGGACAGGAAATGAGGAGTCGAAGGATCCGGTGCTGCATAGGGTTTTGGGCAGCAACCGCAGGACTCGGCAGGGAACATGCGTCCGCTGGGCATAAGGACGAGAACATTACCTACTATTATTCACGGCCTTGGCCCAATTGCCAGTCAGTCCATTTGCTGATGGAACATTGCGGGTAAGGGGCTTTTGTTTTTTTGTTTTTTCTTTGGGAGGGGGGAAGTTAAAGGGAATAAAGTTACTGGGCACCGTGTCAATGGTCCCATGGTCTCCACCCACATCGACTGGGCCTTGATTGGGATCCAATTGTGGACAGGGACGAAGAAGGAGAACAAGACCAAGGCCGATGATGAAGCGGAGGTTGCAGTGGGAAAGAGAAGCAAACTGCGAATCACGGGGCGGACGGCGGGGACTGGCCTGGGTGCCTGAGTCCACCGGTCGAGGGCCAAAATAGACCCGATCTTCCTTTCCCCATCGGGACTTTGCTACCGCATCTACCGTCATTATTCTTACTCCACTCCAGATCGTTCTTTTGGCTATGCGCATATCGTTGTACTCCTTGGTGCTGGTGAACCGAACCATAGTCTGGCGCTTGTCCAGTCCATCTCAAGCTCCAACTGGTAGACATCTAGCCCTTGTCTATCTACGGATCCACCCCCACTGTCAAGGATGCGCTACTCGCATTTGCTCTACAGCTGCCTATGCTGGAGGGAAGGACCCAGTTCAGTTCAACTACCACAGAGATTTGGTGTATATATTGTGGAGTGGATCGGGAGCACACACACACACACACACACACCACGGTCAAGGACGGATGGCGGCCTAAAGTCGAGAATCCACAGGGCGGGGAGCTTCAGGTTCCCGGCCTGAAATGTCACTGCTCCTCGATGAGTTGGGCACACACAGCTGCATGTTTTGTCGCCCAAACTCAGGGCGTCCGTGTCAGCCAATACTCCTTTCCCGACACTGACTTGATGAAACTACTTTTCGTACGGGGTCACTGACGTGCAAACAGCAATCGAACTAATGATAGATCATGAATATGGAAACTTACCACCCCGATCTATTCAGGGGATCCTTGGCTATTTGCATATATTCTGGATACATTAAATGACCCCATCTGGGCAAACAATGTGCCGAGGCAAATAAGGGGAAACCTTGGACAAGAAGAATCTGGAAGACAAAGCAACCAGGGCCTTCTCTCGTGGATCAAACCGATTACTCGATTAGATTGAACCAGCACAAGCTGTGAGACATTGCCGGGTTGCGTATGGCGTACATCATTGCGACCCAACGGAAAGTCGCTGAGGTAACCTCCCGAGTAAAGAGTGTGGATGATTCGTGGCGTCTGATATTGCTTTGAAGCTCACCCGATATTATCTCGGCAGTCACAAACGCCTGGGGTGTCCTGCCCTACCCACCGTGGTTTCACAATCCCACCAGACCATGCCCCCTTCGTCCTGACCAACATTCCTACTACCTATCTAGTTGGTACATCGACGATAGATTAATGGGTCATGGTGATCTCATGTCAGTATCCGGACAGCCCGGAGATAGCATCGCTGGCTCAATCCAGACGCACTGCGCATCAGACTTGGTCCAAATTCTATGACTAACATTGAAGGTCTGATGTCCTCCCATTTCACGGTGAGGTGTTGGCAATGGCAGCAGAGTCCATGCACCAACAGGAAAGTATAAATTGGAGAATTACGATTGTATCGGCTACTCAACGGCGTTTCTAGGAGTTCTAACAGGAAGAAAATATTCCGTACTCGCCAATATTGCATGGCGAACCTGTTGCTTATATCAGCGCCGCCACGACAGCTGAGCCATGCGTAAGGCAGCTTCATAAACTGGTGCACTAATTCGGTGAATGGTCAAAGCGAGACAACCGCCGCAAAAGAAATCCATGGGAAGGAGCTCACATGCACATGGATAACAGGATATTGTCAGCAGACACTGCTAGATGCAAGCAGCAGAATCTACTGGATCAGGCAGGTCGGTGTAGAGCTGCAGCAGCATGCCATGATCATTGAAGCACTCTGATTTCAAGGTGCTCACAGGCGGAGCAGTAAGCCATCGGACAATACCGGGTGGTTCTGTATGTCGATAGATGACTTGGCCAGCTGCAACTTCTTGAGAACATCGTAGTAGTAGAGGGGTTGATCCTTGTAGATGTGCACAAAACCCTGCCTGGATACGAGAATGTCTTCCCGAGTCATTCACCGAGCTCTAAACCTGTTGCTTGGCTGTCCCTGAGGTTCGTTGAACCATAGCTAGGCGGTCTCCAGTAAACAAAGACCAGAGCAAGATGAACATCACGAGCAGCTAGGACCGACACCTACAATGACCATCGGCCCCAACCAAGCCATCATCACCAGCAGCCAGCACAAAAGATAAGAAAAACAGGCCTTCAAAATGGTAAATCGTACATGAAGTCACCTAGTTACTATACAAGGTATCCATCCCAAAGTCGCGACATAAAACATACAAAGCATGGGATGAGACACAGCGCGACTGACCAAACTCCGCTATAAATGCAAAACCACAAGAATCAAAAGTAATCCATCTATCATCCTTCCCTCTCGGTGTAAAGTCCTTAGCGAATACGGCACAAGACCAACCCACCCAGCTTCTTCTCCACACACTCCCTAGCTTCCAAGATACCCCGGTCCGTAGAGATATACAAGCTCTCACCAGGCGAGCGGATTCCCTCAACAGTGTTATCCCGCTCACCGCGAATCACCCGACGCAGACCAGCCACATCAATCGTCACTCGTCGTGTCGGCTTGCTAACCATGCTCAACTTGCCCAGCACGGGCTCGCTCTGCCAGTACTTCAGACCAAGCCAGAGTCGACGGGTAGCAACATTGCTTTGAGTCACGGGTTCGATGCCTTCGACCTCATCGATTGGGTTCGGGTTGCCGAGGATAGGGTGTACAGGGGGAGGAGTCGGGCCTCCGCGGACGACGGAGGAGAGGTAGCCGTCGTTTTGGAGCGCGAGGGCAAGTTTCAGGTGGAGCTTGGAGTTGGGGATGGAGGTGAGGCCAAGACGGGCCTTGCAGGCATTGTTCAGGTGCGAGCAGACGTGGGCGAGGTTGACGAGAGACATCTTGGAAAGAGGTTTGGCCCGGGGGCCTGTGGTGTGCGGAGGACGGGGATAAAGTGACTGGGTCGGAGTGAGCAAACTTGCGCGGCGACTGGAGCTGGTGGGGGGTTGGATGTACCTGTTGCGGTGGGCGGAGGAGGTCAATGAAAGGATAGTCGAATCTCTATCGATTCAATCTAGAACAGCAGCAGCAATGGTCGGATTTGAGGTCCCGCTGGCAGACAATCTCCGATGATGCGGAAGCTCAGATGAAATTTTCGGAGAAACATAATCGCGGCGCCGATAGGGTTGTCTGCCTCAGGCATCAATGTTTCTTGTGACATCTCCGGCGGCAGCGAATCAGCGGCCAGAAGCTCTCTCAGCCGCTCTGTAGCCGCCGGGCTTCTGCATCACGCTGCGTCGCTGCATCTTACAGGCCGGTGTGAATTCCCCTCTTGTCCAGGTATAAATCATGGCGCTGTCGTCTCCCCCCAATTCCCGCGTCGTGCGGAACTCATCTTCTTTTCTTCTCTTCTTCAACACGCCCTGGTGGCCTTATCGACGTTGATCGCCCATTATGCCCCTGTTATCGGGTGAAGAGCGTATACTGACTGTGTGAGTAGCGCTACCCCGCAGATCTCTCAGCTGCAGCAGCTGTATCACATCTGGTTGCCTGGAGGTTGCTAACCGCCGTGTAGCTTTGCGGATATCCATTATTACTTTGCAGCGCCATGTCCGAAGCCCGTCCATCACCGGTTTGATAAGGGCTGCTATCTATATCTATATCTCAACAGCGCTCTGCAGAAGATCAGGATTGAGGTCGCGAACAACCCAGGGACTCCGGAGCAGGATGCTTTCAATGGCGGTTAGTAGTTATTTCATTCATTATGATGGCTCATTGCTAAGTGCCTGTAGCTCTGGACAACATCCACCTCCGACATTCGACTAAATTCCCAACTCTCTGCACTGTGACCGTGGACGGACAGGTGCCGAGTCCACCCCAAGGCCAACCGGCATTCCCGCCGCCGCCAGGCGCCATTTCAAGCGAATGGCAACTGCCTGGTAACGATTCGCCCGCCCTATTCCGCCTGCACACACTAGACATCTATTTCTGGACGACGGAGGACGTCAATCAGTTCCTAGATCTGGTGGAGCGTCATCTCTCGCAGTCACAAATCGAGACAGACCGACACCCCTTCCCACCTCCGCCACAAAGCACCGTCAGTTCTGTTGTGCAGCAGCTGGAAAATGTAGCCATCACCGATCCTGGCTACCAGAATGGACAGACTCGCAATTCTCAAGCCGAGGTTGTGTCTAATCCCGTGCCTAGCTACCAAGCCATCACACCACCGAGCAACCTCCCTCCTCCCCCTCCACTAGGCGGCTTAGCTACAACTTCCCAGCCATTCATGCCTGGAATCCAGTCCGTAGCCAGCGAACAACAGGATACTACTCCGCCGGAACCAACTCCCGCCCCTCTACCCTACAATCCCGCTGCGCCCCCAGCACCAGAGCCTATCAGACACCGGGAGAAGACCCCTCCCCCAGAGGACGCAGAAACGGGGACCGGTCTTGCCGCAGCTGCAGCTGTCGACAACGGCCTTGCTTATCCTCAATCCTCCCAGATGCCTCCGGGGGTAACCGCCACAGCAACAGCACCATCAGCAACAAGAGGTCTATCTGCCCCTCCACCTCCACCTGGGCCCGCCCCGCCCTACAGCATGCCTGGGAACTACGTGCCCCCTGGACCCCCGAGTGCTGGCCTCTCCTCATTCCCAACCTCCATGCCTAGCCCAGGTCTGCCCTCCTACTCTGCCTCGTTCCTATCAGGCGAGAGCCTCAGCCATCCCATGGGGAGCCAGTCACTCCCAGGGCCACCACAACAGCAACAGCAGCAGCAACGCATGTCCTTCGCCCCGCCTCCCACTGACCCTAACGCGCACCTCTACGGCGGGGGCGGAGCAGGAGCCGGAGCCGGATCGACTCCCGGCATATACAGAACGTCAACGGACTCATCGTCGACATCTACCCCGCCAATGCAGTTGTCGCTAGGGGGGTATTCAACCTTCTCGTATGAACAGCAGGGACCGAAGCGAAGCGCAACGGTGTCAGGGAATGAGTACAACGTTCACAATCAATTGTATCAGCCGACGGCGCAAGAGTCGATCTCCCCGCATCAGAAGTATGCCAAGGAGGCGATGGTCAAGCCGGGGGATCCGCATCGGCCGCAGTATTTTGTGAAGAGTGCGTATAAGGTGGAGCATGGGGTGAATCGGTTTTTGAAGAAGTTGGAGAAGAAGTTGTAATCCCCTTATTTCTTACGTCTTGTTATGGCATGATGGTTAAGGGTCTGTTTATACTGGCGTTGAATGCTGCTTCTACATAGTATATCATCTTTTCTACACGTTCGATTTAACAGCGACTAATCCCATTGCATACAAGTTCACTTCATCTATTCATATTTCCGAAACACATATCACAACTACCTAACAAAGAAGAGATATTTTCATTACTATCTGCCCATATCCATCTTCATCCCCCTCCTCCTAAAATACAATCCTAATCCCTAACAAACGGATCCACCCCGCCCTCCCTCCACCTCCTAAACTCCAACACCCTCTCAACCCTCCCCGCAACCTCCTCCCCCCAAATACTCTCCACCCACGCAAACATCAAATCCACACCGGCACTCACACCAGCCGAACTCCACACCTCTACACCCTCCCCATTCTCAGCAGGTTTATCAACCACCCACCTCGCCTCCCTCACCCACTCCACGCGGGGAGCATCTCTAACCACACTCTCCCAATCATTCTTATTCGTCGTGGCCCTCTTCCCATCCAGCACGCCCGCCCTGGCAGCTAACTTGCCCCCCGTACACACTGTCAACAGGTACTTGAGGGACGGGTAGACGGAGCGGATGTACTCGATGTGTTCGGGGAGCGGGGCGCGAGTACCCCAGCCTCCTGGGATGAGGAGGACGTCGAGCTGGGGAGAGGAGGCGAGGGTTGCTGTTGGGAGGATGGATTGGGAGAGAGCGTTGGGGAGGGAGGGGGGGAGGGTGGATATGGGGGAGAGGGTGGTGGAGAGGAGGGTTAGGGATATGGGTGGAGTTGGAGATGGGGTGGTGGGTGAGGGAGAGTTGGTGGACCAGGAGAGGACGTTGAGGACGTCGAGGGGACCGAAGACGTCGAGGGCTTGGAAGCCTGGGAAGAGGAGGACGCCGATGCGGAGGGGTGGTGGGGATGTAGTTGTGGTGGTGGTTTGGTCTGGGATGGTGGTGTTAACTTCAGTGTCAATGGATGGAGGTGGAGGTGGAGGTGGTAGTTGGGATGTGGAGGGGAGCGGGGGAGGAGGGGATGTACCTGTCATAGTGGGGTGATAGTAGAGTAGTTGAGATTGGAGAGAAAGGATAGTAGTTATGAGATAGGATTAGACAGGTGAGTGATGAAGAGGGAGATGACGCCTTTAATAATCCAGTGCTCACTATTTCTGTTGTTGTTGTTATAACTACCTACTATAGAAGGAATCAAGTACTGCCAGGAACTAATCCAATCTAGAATAAACAGGTACAGGCACGTGCTATTCTGTTCCGTGAATCACTAATCTGACCTCAGCAGCTAGAAGAGCAGTATTGAGCATATTTATTCACCGGATACCCAGTTAGTAACTATCTACTGTTTGCATGTACAGCTTGGAATCCGCTTTGTGAGCTGACTATCTCTCTGTGATCTGGTGATGATGCTATCCATCACATGGTAAGTTGATTTTAAATCGGATCGAATGGCATTGGAATTGGAGTCAATAAAAATAGAACCAGTGATTTGAGGTGGAGAGAAGGAAGAATCCTTCCATGGGCAAAGGATCATACTGCTGTACCGTGTAGGGCGTAACATGCAGTCGAGCGCATTATTAGTAAATATGTGCTCGTCGTTCCCCCAAGGTAGTCGCTGTAGCGTTCTAGAACAATGCAGGATGTAGCTGTGTTGGCTTGGCCGTTAGTTTGGTCATGAAAACCAATCGTGATGATCTAGGTGAATTGGCCTGCTGTGTGTACTGGCATATTATGATAATATGTTTAAAAAACTATCATTTACTGAATACCAATAATTTACACCAAAGCATAAATAATCAAGGATAAGAATATGCCAGAGGACCCAGTACTATGCAAGATGCAGTACTCCGTACACATCGCTAAGATCACATCCGAATCAACTCCACCTGCAATGCTCCGACATGCACGTCGTCGGTCTTGTTCGACTGTCAACAAGGGGCTTTCCACACCAAGATCCCGAAAGATAACCCGAGACCAAAATGGAAGACAGAAAAGCCAAGAAGCAGAGAAGAAGGGTAAAGCCCAACAATAAAATCAGTATCAAGAACACGTGGAGACAAGCATATGTACCTGGTCGCATCACGATTATCAAGGGTATAAAAAGATATGTCACGAGAAAGAAACGAGAAGAGAAGAATCTATTTTAACTGGTCAAGTGCTTCGCAGAAAATCAGTTGAGAGAGAGCTTGCCCATGTCAACATCAACCTCGCCCGACTGGGCCTCGACAACCTCAGTAGATTCCTTAGCAGGAGCTTCGGGCTCAGTGACCTCCTTAGTCTCGGGCACCTCAATGGCTGGCTCTTCCGCCGGCACGGTGGCCTCAGCAACGGGCTCAGTTTCAGCAACCGCAGGGAGGTCAGTAGCTTGTTCCTCAGCAGCTTCAGCAACCTCGGTAACATCGACTTCAGGGCCAGCTTCGGCGACGGGAGCGGCAGCTTCAGCTTCAGGCTCGACCGAGGTCTCAACGGGCTCCTGGACGGGCTCCTGAACGGGTTCCTGCACAGGCTCCTGCGCGGGAGCTTCTTCGACAACCTCGACGGGCTTCTCTGGGACAGCAGGTGCCTCAGAAACGACCTCGGCGGGCTCCTCGGCCTTCGCCTCAGGCGCAGGCTTCTCCAGCGGCTTGCCTTGCTCGACCTTGGTGGGACGAGAAGTGCGGGTATCCAGCTTCGAGGGAACTCGTCTAGGCGCCCGGGCCGGCTTGGTGGCCCGCGGGGGGCTCTTGACCTCAACCTTTTCGTGCGTCTTACTAGCAGAACTAGCTGTGGGGCGCATCATGCGAGCCAGGAATCCCTCGTCAACAGGTCTGGAGCTCGTATTGCTCACACGGGAATGAGGGCGTTCGCTTCCGCTAGGAGGGGAGGTACGAGACGACGGCTTGCGCACGGTGGAAGCGGTAGGAGTGATCGCGCGCTTCTGGGTTGCAGTGGTCGAGCTCTTCAGCGTGGACGGCTTGCGGGTCAGAGTAGACGTGGTCTTCTTGGCGGTAGACGAAGTCGAAGCCGTTGTCGAAGCCGGGCGAGTGGGGTTGGCGGCCGCTTTGGTGGTGCGAGATGCGGTCGAGGCTGTCGGCTTCGTCAGGTCGCGAGCAGGCACAGAGGGCCGTGCAGGCTTGGTGACGGGCTTCGTCGCAGTGTTCAAGGATGTCCGGCTCGGCTTGTGTGCGACCTTGGGGGCTTCAAGGGCCGCAGTCTTCGTCGCCGTCGGCCGGACCGCCCGTGTAGTCCGAGTAGTCTTGTCCTCGGTTTTGGCGGGAGAGGTGGGGGTACGGGGTTGCGCTGGCGACTTGGAAGCAGGCTTGGGTGCCGTCTTTCCCACCTGGATAGTGGATGGTCGCTTTGTGACTGTCTTGGTCGGCGTCGGCTTGGGGGTGGAGACCTTGCTGGCCTTTACAGGAGAAGCTGGGGCTGGCGTGGCAGCAGGTGCAGCAGCAGGTGCAGGGGCCTCCTCGATGACCTCTTCTGAGGGCTTTTCGGGCTCTACCGGGGCAGGCTCAACTTTCTCAGCCACATCATTCTGCGATGTCTCCGAGGCCGCAACTGGCTGTTCGGTGATCTTCTGAGGGAAGCCGTTGCTGGTTGGTGACACAGACAACGGACTTCTCAAGCCACCCTCGAAGTCCTCCGAATTGAAGCTCCTGACCCGAGAGGGAGCAGCAGGGCTATCGCTGCGTCCACTCACGCTGCGAAGCCCTGCGACAGGGTTTGGCTGGGTGGCTCCATCGACAGCGATGAAGCTGGCGCGCACCTTGGACAAGGGTCTGGCAGTTGCGGAATGTTCGGAGCCAGCGGGAGATCGACCGCGGGAGGGAGGGGAAGTAGTGTTGTTCTGGTTGTTCTCGAACCTAGCGAGAAGGTTGCGCACACCAGGATGGCCGCCGGTCTCGTTCATGATGGCGGCTCGCTTGGGCGATAAGTGGCGGAAGCGGGAGGTGAGCAGAGGGTATTGATCGTGACGGATGGGACTGGGAAGGGGAGAATCGGAGCTCGAGGGGTTGGTCAGAGAATCGACGGAGGTGGAGATGCGAAGAGGGGATTCAGCGCTTCGCACGGATGAAGCGAAGGAATCGGAGGGCATTCACAAGGATGAATGAACGCGTCCCAGAAAGAGGAGGGACGGGGTGACGTGAGATAAACAGTTGACCCAATCTGTTAACAACACGCGGGAGGCAAACAGTGGTTCGGTAGTGGGGGGAAACAAAGTCAATGCAGGTGAGACAATGTAACCGCGGTGGACACAACCATGGTGGACAAAGAGGGGATTGGAGTGAGGAAGCTGTGAATCGAATGAATGAATGAATGGTATGGGGGATGAGGATGAGTAGGTGAGAAGAGAAGAAAAGAAGGAGGAGAAGAAGAAGAGGAGGAGGAAGAGGAAGAAAGAGAGTCACTTCCAACTAAAGAGAGGAAAGTGGAGAGAGAGAGAAAGCAACGAGGCCCCGACGCCTGAGGCAGCGGGTTCAGGGGTCGGATCCGCGGCTTCAAGTTGATGGCGCTCCGTCTCAGATTCGCTTTCTCATCGGTCTCTGCCTGGATGGCCTTACGTATTATTGAATAATCACCACCAAGAATACCTAATAATCCCTCTCTTCCTTTTGGTGGATGCTTCCCCCCCCTTGACCTGATAGTCTCCGGCACTATTGACCTCCCCCAGGGAATGACTCTCATCCTTTCTTTTGCGATCGACGGAATAATCGGCACCAACTCCTTGCAAAGTTCATACACAGTCAATACTCAATACTGATGCGGTGCTAGTGATGATCCTATTGCTGAGGTGGGATGAAACAGTCCTCTTACCAGCTGAAACCCATGCCTCGTACTACGTATACTATCATTCTCTCATCAGAGCATCAAATCCACTGACTGTTTGTCATGGTCACCATGGAGCCCCGACTGGCCGGGACATTTCCTGCAATCTCCTGCACTTCCCCCCGATCGTCTCCCTTTCCCCCCACGCCCCTAAAAAGGCCAGCTTGCAGTTCCTTGCAAGTTGCGACACAAGTTTAGCGAAACCTTGATCGTGCATCCCGATTGTCCCAAACCTTAGTTCACATGCTGGCCCCCCGATCTTGCATCCCTTCCGGTGTGGCAAATCCAGTTTCATCATCCCCATAAGCCCACAATAGTTGGTGTAATGACTGTGTAGATAGTGTTGCTGGGTTCGTGGACAGGTTCCTGGATGACGCATTCCCCTAGGAAACCCCTGGTGGATCAGGGATGGACGCGAGGATGCTAACGGCGACCAATTTCCCTCTAGTGCCATTCTAGTCCTTCTAGAGCATTCATGGAATAATCAAAGGATGCTGTTAGTGCTTTCCTTTAATTACCCCGGTGGGTTCAGATGCACTGACCTCCTCACACACACACTCTCTCTCTCTCCCTTTCCCTCGGACATGACACATGGCAGTAGTCCCAGCTTGTGGTCCCCCCGCCCGCTGACTGCAGTCCCCATGGCACGGTTGTCTCCCTTGTCGTCAGCAATATGAACAATCAATTGATTTTAGTATTGTGTATAGAGTAGAAAAGGGTTTCCGCAGGGCCTTGCCCTGACGCAAACAAGGGAGACGGGGAAGCTGTGCCAGACTTCAGTAAAAAGATCAAAGCGCCCCCACCCGCGGGATGAACCTTATAACGCAGGGGAGTCCGACTCAACCATGGAAACACCCCAAAGCTGGCCGTCAGACCGCTGTTACCATTGCCCATTTTCCACTAGATGCACTGATAACCGGAAATATAATCATCAATAGATAGAAATTAAGCAAGGTCTTCGGCCACTGAGGTCCAGACTCGGGCGAAGTATGTTGTTATCGCGGGTAGGCCTCCACTGCGCGTGACTGACACGCTGGGCTACAGGCGTCTGTCAAGCCAGTTCGTTTGGATAAAGTATGCGGATGACAGTCAAGAATGTGAGCATGTTTCGAACCAAGGAAGTTGATGCATCCTGGGATGCTTGATCATTTTGCGTAAAGACGTATCGTCATGCGAACTTGCCTCGTCTGCACCACCAGGTAGTATCTGCCAATGTATTTTGCTACTTAGTGCAAGGTCAAAGGCAACTGATCCAGGTGTTGTGGTACCACATGTACTTGTAGCATCTGCTTATATGCAAGCAAGTGTTGGTTAAAAATGTCTTGGACATGTCACAAAATCCCAACTTGAACGCTCTAAT